CCTCTAGCCTTTGATGTAAGAAATGGAGAGGCTATAGAGGCATGGGGAGCAGATGTACGATGCGTTCCGAAAGGAGGACTTCATATGTAGAGCAATAATATTTGTTACTACCAATGATTACCCCGCGCTGTTTGCTTTGTCTGGACAGATCAAAGGAAAGACGGGATGCTTGGTTTTCTTGGATGGTACTACATGGGTGTACCTGGATGCATCCAAGAAGATAGTTTACCTAAGGAACCGACACTTCTTAAAGACAAGTCATAAGTACCGCAGCAAATTGTTCTTTAGATTTTATGACAACGCCCCGAAGATTGAACCCCCTCCGGAGAGACATCATAACGGAGAACACGTGTACAGAATGGTGAAAAACATATGCGTCGTCTATGGAAAGAAGAATCCAGATGGGACGAACAGAGATAGAAGCACACCTCCTGCCGAAGGCGTACCTTTCAAGAAATAATCGATCTTCTTTCAGTATCTGTCTTATTGGCTAGACTTGGAGGTCCCACATGCCATTGATGCTATGCACATGTAGAAGAATGTCTTTGAGAGTCTCATTGCTACCTTGATGGATACAGGCAAGTCAAAGGATGGTCTGAAAGCACGGAAAGACATGGTGCAGCTAAACGTGATGCCACAGCTTCACCCGGTACCTGAGGCTAATGGAAAATACACTCTGCCCGTAGCGAGCTTCAACCTAACACCAGACGAGAAGAGAGCTATATGCACTTTCCTGAGGGGGATCAAAGTCCCGACTGGGTTTTCAGCAAATGTGAAGAAGCTAGTGTCGATGAAGGACTTGTCAATAACACACTGCAAGGCTCACGATTACCATGTGATGTTGATAGTGTTTCTACCTATTGCAATCAGGGCTATAAAGCCAGAGTTCTTGAAAATGTCCATCACCCGCATGTGCTACTTCTTTTTGAAGATCTCACAAAAGACGATTGGCAAGCAAGAGCTGAGTGACCTACATGAATTTGTGGTGGAGACACAAAACCAACTGGAGATGTGTTTACCTCTTGCTTTTTTTGATATAATGCCACATCTCATGATTCACATGGTTCATCAGATACAGGCGTTGGGCCCTTGCTACTTGCATGAAATGTGGTCCTATGAGCGGTTCATGTCGGTTCTAAGTTGATACGTGCATAATCGAGCATACCCAGAGGGCTCCATGATAGAGGGTTATAGTACTGAAGAAGTCATCGAGTGCTGTCAAGAGTACCTAAAAGTACAAAAAGGGATTGGTAAACCCGATTCTCGTCATAAGGGTAGGCTGGCTGGGATGGTAGGAAAGTGTTCATCGACCATGATTACAAAGAGGTGAGTCGGGCGCATTACAGTGTCTTGCAGAGTACACAACTGATGCAACCGTACATTGATGAACACTTGGCTATCATTATGGCGGAGAGAAATGGCCGTTCGGATGATTGGATCATGAAACAACACAAGCACGACTAACTATATGGTTAAAGGATCAAAACATACCGCCTGGAGAAACCATGGACTCTATTACCATCAGTAGGTTGGTGGAGGGACCATCGAGACAAGTAACATCTTGGAATGCTTATGACATCAATGGGTATACATACTATACCCTTGCAAAGGATAGTAAATATGTGAACCAAAACAGCGACGTTCAAATAGAGGCTCTCGATGGATTGGGGCGAAACATCCAATACTTTGGCATCATTGAAGAGATATGGGAACTTGACTATGGAAGGGATATAACGGTGGCCCTGTTTTGATGCTGCTAGATCAAACAACACCAACTAAACGAGATCGGATTGAGAGTCCTAGACCTCGATAATTTAGGCTACCAAGATGACCCTTGGGTGCTCGCTTCACGTGTCGTACAAGTTTTCTATATGTTTGACCCACAAAGTAACCTCCCCTCGAAGAAGAAGACAAAGCACGTGGTTGCCTCCGGAAAATAGCACATTATTAGAGTTGATGGCGTGGACGATGTTGAAGCTTACAATAACTACGATGAGATGCCGCTATTCACAGACTTTCCTAAGAAGATTAGTGTTGTAGAAAAGAACCTTCCCAAAAACATATTGCCATGGAAACGAAAAGGTGTCAAGGGGAAAGTCGTTACAGCGGGCTAGCTAGTTGTTAAACGTGGAGTATTTGTAAAATCTTCATTTATGCATGCGTGTGAGACTATATATTTATATATGTGTGTAAGACTACATATTTTTGTATGTGTGTGAGACTACATTTACGCATGTGTGTGAGACTGCCCTTTGCAACATCCAGATGACTCTATTTGAACATCTACTCTATTACTACTAAAACTTTATGAAATCATTTAACACTTTATGAAATGAACAAATGACCAAAATAAAAGTAGGAGATCTTGACAAGTTATACAACTTTTATATTCATCACCTTTATAGCTGAAATCATTTAGTGTTTGAAAATCAGGTTTGAAGCCTGTTATTTTCTAAAATTTTAAATTTGAATTATTCAAAATTAATGACAAAGATAGATGACTAGACTAAAATGATAGAGCATGATTTTAGAAAATTTTAGAAAAAAACCATCACATTTGGAGTTAGTATGAGAAAGAAAAACTAGTTACAAGTTTCAGCCACATATTAAAAAAAGAAATCACACTTGTTCATCATTTATCATCATGAACAGTTATGATTTTTTTTTTAATCTCTCGATAAAATTTGTAACTAGTCTTTCTCCCTCATACTAACTCCAAATATGATGATTTTTTTTCCTAAAATTTTCTAAAATCTTGCCCTATCAAGTTAATGTGTTGATTTGGTCATTCTTTTCATTTGACAAAGTTTGAGCACTTCAAATTTTCAAATTTAAAAAAATAACATGTTCGAACGAGATTTTCAACCATTAAATGATTTCAGCTGAAAAATTGATGAATACCAAAGTTGTATAACTCATCAAGATCTATAACTTTTATTTTGATTATTTCTTCATGTGACAAAGTGATAATAAACATTGTTCACAAATCAACATGTTTCTCGTATAGTTCATGAAACTATGAGTCATATGTAAATTTATGAACAATGTTTACTAATACTTTGTCACATAAAGAATTGACCAAAATAAAAGTTGTAGATAGTGATGAGTTCAACAACTTTTATGTTCACGACTTTTATTGTTGAAATCATTTAAGGTTTCAAAATCTTGTTTCAAGTTGCCATTTATTGAAATTCAAAATTTCAACTGTTCAAATTTGGTCAAATGAAAATATGATCAAAATAAAAGTTGTACATATTGATGAGTTCTACAACTTTGGTATTCATGAGTTTTTCATCTGAAATCATTTACTCTTTCAAAATATTGTTTCAAGTTCAAATTATTTGAATTTCAAAATTTAAATCATTCAAACAAAGTCACATGACAAGATGACCAAAATAAAAGTTGTACATGTTGATGAGTTATACAACTTTTATGTTTACAATATTTTCATTTTATTTCATTTAATGTCATAAAATTATAGTCGAAGTTTTAAAATTTAAATTTTTAAATTTTGTTTTTTTTTGTTTTCTATATTGTTTTGACTACAATTGTTTATATATTACTTTGTGTTTTTATGATATAAAAAATACAGAATTAATAATTTAAAAAAATAAAAAATATTTGTAGGGGCGGTTGGATCAGAAACCGCCCCTACAAATGCATTTATAGGGTATTTGGATCAGGAACCGCCCCTAGAAATCGTCCCGAGTATAAATACAAGAGCGCACGGGTGTTGGCCTGTTGGGCGCTCTCTTCTTTTCCTCCCGCGCCGTCAGCTGCCCTGACGCCGCCTCCCGGACCTGTCGGCCGCCGCGCGCGCCTCGCCGCCCCCGCGCCCCATCTCCGCACCGCGTGCCCCCTCCCCCACCCGCCCCCACCCGACCCGCGCCTGCTCCCGCCCTAGGGTTTCCGACCGGCTGCCGGCGCTAGGGTTTCGACCTTGAGGTGCCATGGCAAGACCGGCCGGTGGCGCTTGCGCGCCCTATTCCGTACCGCGCCCCCTCCCTTTCTCGCGCGCCTACTCCCCACCCTAGGGTTTCCGATAGGCCGACGTCGCTAGGGTTTCCGACCTTGAGGTGCCGCGGGCCTGCTCCCCGCCCTCCCGTGGCCTAGGTGTGTCGGCGTCCGTGCTCCCTCCCGCGGCGAGCGGCCACGGTGCCCGAGCTCTCCAGCGTCCGCACTCCTTCCCTAGCGTCCACACCTCCAACGGCAGGCGGCCTCCGCGCACCTCCACCGGCGTCCACACTCCTTCCCGTGCTCTCCGGCGTCCGCGCACCTCCACCGGCGTCCGCACTCCTTCCCGAGCTCTCCGGTGAGTGCGCTGATGCTTTCATCCAGCTCTTTGCACTGTTTTTTTGTTTTTCCTTCAATGGCTCAATCAGCAGCAGTGACCTCTCATCATCATGGCCAGTTCGTTGGGCATGTTCTCCTTGGTGGCATCCAATGGATGTGTTGAATTTAAATCTATTTGTTTTTCTTTGTATATGAGTGCTGCGGCAAGTTGCATTGGCTAGTGTTTTGGATCAGTGCTAAATTATGCCACTACAAAATGCCTTCCTTTTTTTTGGTTATGGATAGTTTCCCCTGGTAGATAGAAGGTTGATTTTGAAATTAATAAAGCCTGAATTTTATCCTCTTTTTTTTTGTTGTCCATATCTGTTTTCAATGGGTACTCAACTAGATAATAACATAGATGAAGTCAGAAATGTGCATAGGGGAAAAGTAGTTTGGTTTATGTAGCATGGGGAACTCACGATGAAGCAATCTTTTCCATCCAATGGTGACCTTGCAAGTTGGGCGAGTAGTGTGCCGTAGTTGACCTCAAAAGAAGGGTATAGCCATTGAACAACAACATTGCTATAAATCAAACAAAAAACAATAAAAAAATCAGTTTAGACTAATACCATCAAAGAAGATGCAGATGGCTTCAACAAAGGCAAAGCCTCAGATGGATCACCCATTTTTGAAACATGCTTAGACAACCAATCAAAGAGATCTTTTCACCCTTCTGAACCTGTTTTCTGATCACCCAAAGACACTATAATATATGGAACCATCTTGTCAAGTTGGGCTGCAGCAACCCACGAATCTAAAGCAGTCAAAGTGCATTCTCGCATATGCTTCTTATTGTCACCAAGACACTTCAGCACATCTACCAAAATACCCTTCATAACAAACAAACAGTTGTCAGTTATTGTAGCGACCAAAATAAACATGCAGAAGTAGAGAAATCAAGCTTAGTTCCAAACCTTGCTTGACTTTTCAACAGAAGGTCCCATAGCAGATGCAAGGCTACCAATAGTGGACAAGGTTGCCATTACTAAATTTTTGTTGCTGTCATAAAGACGGCCTCTAAGTGCACTGAACAGGTCAGCTGCAGTGATAAGATGGCCAAGACAATTTACTACAAGTTGAATGAATACATTTATAGTCGCTTGGTATGAATATAATCAGTGGACCTGTTCCTGTAGGCTGGATACGTTTATTAGCCTCCTCCACAATTTTGGTGATTGCGTCTATGGACTCCAGTCGTACCTGTGAATTCACATATAAGCATAATATCAAATGTCACAAATAAAATCCAAGAAACTTACAGAATAAATCAAATAATTTAAAAGAGGCCAGTACCTTCCAGTCTGGACTGCCTAGATTTTTTAGTAAAGTAGGTGTAATCTTAGCAGTAATGTCTTCCCGTGGCAGCCCATCAGACGAGCCGGCAGATGCGGAAGATGCAGTATCCAGAACACGAACTGTTCTCTTCGGAACAGCAGCAGCACCCTAATAATTGAACCAAACTGATGTCGGTGAAAATCAAAGTCACAGTAAGTAAGCATTTTCCAAACAGTGACTCTAACACAGCATACCTCAAAAGGATTTTTCTCATATTCAGTATCCAGGGCACTTAGAAGTGCTTGTTTAACATCACTTAAAAAGCCTTTAATATCTGCAGGATGGTTTATTTCAAGAACATGATCCAGGGCCCACAAACTTATGTAGCATCCCAATTAGTTTTATAGTAGCATTTCTTGTTACAGCAGTACTAGACTGAAGACCGATGTCTTTGCAAAAATCAATCATGTCCTGATTTCAAAAAAAAATATCAATCATGTCCTGGAACAACAAAGACAGATAAGAACAAGAGTGTGGTAACACTGTAAGTATAGAGCAAACAAGCATAGGAAAGTGCACCTTTAGCTTTAAATTGGAGATCCCAAAGTCTTCCACAGCAGAGACCATCCAAAGGATCTGTGGCCAAGAAGTGGTATGTTCAGTTTCTGTACCTTTTTCTTGGGAATATAGATAGTTGTCTTTCTATAATAACTGCTAGTCTCTTTTATGTTTTGAAACCTTTTTCTTGGGAACATAGATAGTTGTTTTCTATTTTCATTGCTTGCTGGCTGTCCTCCTCCTCTCTCTACTTACTACTACTGCTACTTATTATCTTCTCGTAACTGCTGCTGCTTTCCTAACTGTGGCTGCTGGCTCTTGGTTGGTCTCCTACAACTCTTATTACTACTACTTGTTGTCCTACTACTTCTCTACTACTCCATAGTCTCTACTCTCTACTACTATTCTCTCTTACTATGTGGCTGGTGGCTACTAATCTTCTCTGTACTTGCTGTCTGCTCCTAGTACTTGGTGGCTGCTGGCCAGCTGCTCCTACTCCTACTTGCTACTCCTACTACTCCTCTCTCTACTTACTACTATTGCTACTTATTATCTTCTGTCTTCTATCAACTCTTACTACTAGTGGCTGTTGGTTGGTCTCCTACAACTCCTATTACTACTACTTGCTACTCCTACTACTACTCTACTACTATACTGCCCTCCTGCTCTTCTCCTACTACTCTACCACTCCTCTTCTACTACTACTCTCCTCTACTCCACTCTACTCCTCTCCTCTCCTAAGCAGTTGTTGCTTTTTTTGCTACTTCTACTACTTGCCTACTACTATTGTTTACTACTTCTACTTCTGTCTTCTATCAACTACTTGTACTTCTGTCAACTAATTCTACTATTTTCCTACTACTACTGTCTACTACTTCTGATTGTCCGATCTGCCTATCAGGTTCGGAAGATATTAAGCATATGATGTTCATGTGTGATCGAGCAAAGTCAGTATGGAAGCTGTTGCTTTTTTTGGGAAGCAGCACCTGCTTTTTTTTTGCCAAATCTCTCCTCTCCTCTATTTTTGTCACATTTTCTATCCTCTATGTTTGGGAAGCAGCAGCTGTTTTTTTACACCTTTTCCTCTCTATGTTTGTTAAGTAGCTGTTACTTTTTTTTGCCAAATCTCCCCTTTCCTCTCTTTTGTTTTGCCGATGATGAAATTGTCCAAGTCCATACATTATATGGAATATGAGCTGATGATCAAGAACTTGTGAGGAACTTGACATCATTAGCAGCCGCCCCTACATTACCTTCTCCTCTCTTCTCTGTTATGATGCCTTGATGCTCCAAGTTCTTGATCAAATGATGATTGACATGTTTATGAGGCCTCTACTACTGCTACTACACGTTTTTTTTATATATTGTTGTTTTATAGGACTACTTTGGTTTATAGACCTTTTTTATTTCTTATACCTTCTCGCGTACCTAAAGCACACTTTCTTGCATCTATTAGAACAAAGCGTGAAATAATGTCGCGGACACCAGACAGTGCAGCCCGATGCCCCGAGCATGATGAGCAACCAACCTATGAGGAGCAAGCACTAGAGGACTAGCTAACTCAGGAGCAGTTCGATAACGAGTTAGAAAAGGATCTAGAAGTGATGCTTACTCAGGAGCAGTGTGACAAGGAGGAAGGGGGAGCAGAAGGAAGAGCAGGAGAGGTTGCTGAAGGCAAAGAAGAAGAGGATGATGATGATGATGACTCAGAAGAGGAATATGAAAGTCCCGAGGATCCTTTCCCACGTGAAGCCAGAAGTAGGCCAATGGAGAAAGATTTGGACAAGGATTTTGACCCGAACGAGGAGGTACGGAAAAAAACTTAGCTTGTAAATTTTGCTAAAGCTTTGGTTGTGTTACCTCTGCTAACATTTTGACCTGTCGTATATATAGGTCCCTCCTAAAACTCGGAAAAGACAATATCGACGTCCGCGACATCTCGCTGGACAAGACGGAGTAGAGCGAAAGGAGAGCAGAGGCAATAGCCATAGAGACGGATCACGATGCCTCTGCTCCACAACCTCAAGACACAACCACGACTACCAAGTCTAAGAGGAAACGAGGGGATAGAAAATGAAATCTATATCCAGATAAGACATGCTATGTGATCACAGAGGTCGGGCCAGCAGGGGAGATCCTTGAGCCGAAGGAATTAAGAGGACGATTCTGTAATGCGATCGGAGCCCTAGTAAGAGATAAATTGAACCCAACAATCCCTAACTAGAAAGAGGTACCAGAGAACAAAAAGAATGAACTATGGGATAGGTAGCTGAAGCTCAATTTTAGATTTTTGGAGAGTAAGCATGAACTGGTAAAAAAATGTTTTTAGGATGATGGGAGAGTCATTCCGACGTTGGAGGTCAGAGCTCAATACGAAGTATATCCAAAAGGGGTTAACTCCCTTCAACGAGTTCGGTAAAATAACTCCTAGTCAATGGGAGGAGCTCGTGGCTCAAAAGACTTCACCGGAGATATTGGAGCTCAGTGCCCGTAACACCGAGCTGACGAAGAGGAACAAACACCACCATCATCTAGGCCCCGGTGGCTACTATGCCAAGGAAGAGCAGTTTAGGAAGATGGACGAAGAGGCCGCAACTGCTGGGAATATCGATGTGATAAATTTAAAGGTATGCTCAAGGAATTGGATATATGCGAGGAGTACAGAATCATCTGGCGATAATCTTAAGTTTGATAAGCCGAAGACCCAAGAGGCAGTATCAAGGATACTGAAATATGCTGAAGACAAGGAGAAGGGCTCATTCAATCCTTCTAGAGAGAGGGACGAGCTTAGCCTTGGCTTCGGAAACAAGAAGCACACAGGCCGCATCAGGGGGCTAGGGAAAAGGACGACCTGGAAGCAAGGATTCGAAGAGGACAGGCACATGTACAAGAAACATGGCAGAGACCGGGAGACTAATCTTGAGCTCCAAGTAAAGGCTCTAGTTGCAAAGGTCGCTGGAGGAGCAAGGACTGTCTACAGAGCCACGGATATTAGTGACACTGCCGGGAGAACTGGCATTAGTTGGCAACCCTCCGAAAGTTCCTAGTAGCCAAGGTTCCAGTGCAGCCACAACCCCCGTCGATCGCATACGGGAACCAACTAGTTGCACCTTGGTGTTTCTCAGTGGCTGGCAGAACACTGTGATGGAGGTGGCAACGGGTGTGGCACATCCTCCCGGTGGCTTACACCATAATAATAAGATACCGCCAGACTACACTAGGGTCGAGGTGCATACCGTGAAGCCCGAGTTCATGCAGTGGAGGATAGACTACGCAACTCCCGAGGGGCTGGTGTTACTTGGAGACTTTCTAGGGCAGTTCATCCTCTGGCACAAACGGGACATTATATTGACTGCTTCTTCGCCGCCTCCCCCTCTCCCAAATTTGGAGCAAGTTGTTGAGGTCAGGGAGACATTTTCACCGTCTCATGACCACCACATTCCTGATATGCCACATTCTTCCCTACCTCCTAGCGAGCATGTGCCTGATGAGATGCCAGAACCTTCTCCAGCTCGTACTGAGCAAGTGCATGATGAGATGCCACAGTCTTCTCAACAAGCACAGCCGATACATGAACAACGAGTGCCTCCTAAAGAATGTGATGCACAAGAAGACGAGGACGTGCCTGAATGGGAACTTCAAAAGAAGCATCCAATCACCATAAGAACAATTTATGTTCCGATGAAAGACGTCTCGTCGGTGTCCAAGTGGTATTCCCATGACCAGTTCAAGCTTGAGAACCAAGTTAAAAAAAGTCCCATCATGGGGTTCAGAGGAGGCCATCACTAGCAAACTCCACCAAATTGCAAAGCAGTATCCAAATGTTGATGCCATCAAATGGTCAAAGGATTGTCCGAAAACATATGAAAGAGGCAAGCCCTTCCTACCAAACCGGGACATCCAGCGCCTACCACTTGGAATGAGAAGGTTCCATAATTGGTACTTGCGTGTTCTCCCAACGAGCATAGACCTTATACAAGCATGCTTCCCCACCGGCACATTTGGAAGCCCAGCCGGGAAAATTGTCTTTGACTTCAAGGACATGCACACATGCTTTCACCTGGGAGAAATGGAGATGAATCTAATTCGCATGTGGTGCATGTAAGTCCTTGTCCTCCCGATATGATATGAATGTAATCTTTGAATTTTGTTGTAACTAACCCACGCCGTGATTTGTAGAATACAAATGCACATTGTCAAATAAATGCCAAGTGTGAAAGCCAGGTATCTAGACCCTTAAGCTATAGCCCAAACAAATTTTAATTACCCTAAACAGTGGAAACTGGATGCCAAAGAGTTAGCTGCTGCAACGACTCTTCGGGAGAAAGAGCACATTCGCACGACAAAACTAAGGGAAGAGTCCCTTAAGGTTGCGCCATACATTGCCCTGGCTTTCAAAACTCTTCAACAACACTCTACTATATGGCTACCATACAACTTCGAGTAAGTTCAACTCTATACTTAAAGCTTTGTTCGATATATTTTATTCGATGCAAAAGAGCTTATCTAGTTCTATGATTAAATCCATGCAGCAACCACTGGATTTGTATAGCTGTCGATGTTGGGAGGAGCATGGCATGTGTCTTTGATTCAATAGATAGGGACCCAGTGACATACAAAGACTTCATATCGATTCTCAAGACGTATACATATCGACAATCCTCATTAGCTTATATGTCTGTATACATACTTGTAACGTTCACTTTTAGATACTAACAAGTTGTATTTGCTAAAATAAATCGAATAGGGCATTTAGATTCTATGTCACTAATCATCATCGAAGGCAAGATCCAGCGAGGAAGGAAAAGCTGGCTATAAAAACACTATGTGTGGTAAGTGTAACTTACTTCTTCAGTACTTCATTACATGGCTGTCAAAAACATTACTTAACATTTTCATATACAAAACACACAGTGCCCCAAGCAGAAGCCTGGGATTGTACATTGTGGATACTATATATGTTTTATGATGAGTAACACCGGTGCCTACAGGAGACACCCCTTAAGGGTAAGTTTGAACCTCTTCACCCGTAGTATAAAAACTTCGTACATGGTATGAAATACTAAACC